TCCTTGAATTGTGGAATTATGATTAAAATGAAAAATTAATGAAATTAAATTCAAAGATTATAACCTGATTGACCAGTTGCCTATTTAAAGGGTGGTCCGCCACCATTCCAAGACATTGGAGACAATTCAGAATTTCAATCCATTCAGATTTCTTCTAGTTTTTCTTCTTCGTCTTTTCTAGTTTATGTTTTATTTTTCGAGATCAGTCATGACTATGGTTGGCTAGATCTCTTTTTATTGTTGCTAGGGTCACAAACCCATGTGAACCTTTTGTTTATTTATGGATTGGTTTACTTTTCGCTCTTTAATTTAATTGATTTATGCCTACTCTGTGCGTATTGCTTATCATTTATATTAAATCTGATCAGTTTAGTATTGAATGATAATCTGAGGGTTAGAACCCTAGATAGGAATATTGGGGTTTTGGTCCAGAAAGGGGGTAGGATAATAATTAACATGCGTGCTAGGAATAGACGCATTTTTTATTACAAACGTTTAATTTATCTGTGTAATGCTTGATCTCAATTGAAACATTGCAAGGAATTGGGGTTTTAATTGTGATTAAAGGGCTATATTTGCTAGGAATTGGGGTTTAGCTAATAATTGTTTGGATGATAAATTATTTGGTTGTTTATTTTAATAGAGCATTGTGAATCAATCCGTAGTAAAAAGAGAGGATTATAGGGCGAGTGTACTTACCTGCAATATCTCTCATATTTTTATCCAAATTATTTTGCATCATTCTCTTATCTTAAAATCCAAAAATATGTCTTTGTCTTTGATTTCTATTGTTCTTCAAATCACTTGAGTTTTATATCTTGAAAGGAAGTTTATAAGATATTCGCTCACAATCCCTGTGGAGACGATAACTTACTTATCACTTTATTACTTGAATGATCGGTACACTTGCCGGTGAGCATCATTTAGCTTCCGCATTTATTCAATTAATGGACTTAGTAATTAAAGTCTTTAAATGGCTTAGGTCAGTTATATATAAATGAAAGTCCCTTAGGTGAATTGTATGGAAGTTGTACGGATTAAAAACCCTATTGTGCAGCATAGCAGAGCTGATATGGCCTCTATCTAGGGAGTAATCAAATGAGTATTCGATTACTTCCCGGCAGGAATGGATTTTAGCTACTGTCAAAGAAGTATCTGAATACTTGGAAAAGTATTTGATTACTTCTCTGTAACAGCCCGTTGTAGACCGGTATTTTTAACATTAATTATGATATTAAGCGCAGTTACAATCATAGCAATTCATTTATAAAAATTGGAGTAAATTTTTTCCGTTTATTACGCGAGCATTTAAAACAATAATAAAGCGTAATAAATAAAAGTTGTGACCGTAACTGTAAAAGCTTTGCGGAATAATTATTTAAACTATATATATATCATAAAATACTTCCCTCAAATCACTAAGGGGTTCCCATAAACCCACTTAGCTAAAATCTCACTTTTACGTTTTCTACCAATCCAAACATGGTTCAGTCTTTTAATTTCTGCGGACAAACCGTATTCTATAATCCTCTCATCTTTTAGTATGTTATTTTGGACTTAATTACCTTTCTAAGAAGCTATAACACGAGTCATAAAGTTCTCGTTTGCTCCGGATATCGCCGTTTGAAATTGGACAAGCAAATCAGCCAGCCAACCTCAAACCGGCTCCAAACAGCCTTCACTCAATCAATTATTCTGGAAAATACACTAAACCAATTGCTCTCAAATTTTGGTACAGTAAAATAGACACACCTCAAGCTTCAATTTAACATATCATACACCTAATTTGACCAAGAAACGAAGCGGGAATAAATTTCCCAAACTCGCACCAGAAAAGCCACAAGTGCAGTGGCCATATGAGCAGTCTGTGCTCACTTCCTTTTACAGGCCGACGTGCAACCTAGAATGTTCTCAAATTTTAAGAAAAGATAGAGGACATCACAAGATTTAAAACGGCGTATGACACGTCCTTATCGGACCTCTTTGGAGGTAGATATGCTCTCCCAAAATTCGCCTAAATTCTGCCAATTTCTAGAAATTTCGCCAGAGTTTCCTCTGTTTTTTCCAATAAATACCGTATTTGCAAATGTGTTCTCTAACCTCAAATTTTACCTAATAATCATGGGTGGCACACAAGGACCAGCAATGCCTTGGTGCTCTTACAACCTAATAAACCCTTGGTTTACCATGTTTTTAGGCTTAATTATGATTGATAGATGTTATGAATTGCATGGAAATTAGGGTTTTATGCTGTAAAGTTACAGTAATTGTAAATCTTGCTAAAAGAAGACAATATATTAAGAAACAGATTCTTGACACATTATAGCATTTTGGAACAAAAAGAAGACATCAAGTTGAGTTGAAGCCACAAGAAAGCAAGATTTCAAGTGTGTACCAGCTGAAGGAGGACGTTTTGGCGTCCATGAAGCATGTTTAAACGCACAACAGGAAGAAAAACACCATTTCCCCCTGGAGGAGAACGTTTTGGTGCACAACAGCAAGCCAAAACGTCCAGAAAACAACCAAAACCATTCGAAGAGCACGTTTTGGCGTGCTAATGGACGCCAAAACGTGTGAAGGCAGAAAAGAATACACATCAAGAACATTTTAGCGCGCTACATCACGCTAAGACGTCCACACACGTTCAAGCCAACTCCAGGAAAGATTTGATCAAGATATGCAAGCAGATTCTATGAAGATATAAAGAGGAAACACCTCAACATTGATTTGAAAAAGATATAACTCCAATGGGAAGATATGATGAAGTTACAACAAAGATTTGAAGCTCTAATTCATCAACCAAATCTCCAAGATATTACATGAAAAAAGGAAACAAAGATGGAATCAAATACAAATCTAATATGGATTCATTAGGAGATTTAATGAGGGATACAACACCTATGGTTATAAATAAGGAGCTTGGGAGCATACCAAAATCACCAATTCAGAAACCAATTGACAATTACAAAGAGCTTGAAGGAGGAATCATGTTGCGGAGCGCTGGAACACTGAGGAACCAAGTCAACATCACACCAATGGAGGCTTGGGGTTCTCTTTTCTTTATTATTTCTTTTTAATTCAGTATGCTAGAGTAGTCTTTTATGTAGTTAAGGGTAGATGGAACCCAATTGAATCTTTATGTTGATGAATTAAATTGTCTCTGAATCCTGTTCTTTTTATAATTGAATAAATTATCTGTTTTTAATGTTTTCTATGAGTTTGTTCCTTATAGAATGATTTTGGGGAATTGTATGACAATAGGGATGTTGGTGCATGAACCTTGACTTGATAATTTATCATAATCCTTGTGATCTAGGAATAGGAATAGGAATAGGCATAAGGTAATTATGCAATCTTGTAATTCTTGATCTTAATGAATGTTTTCTTGGGGAATAATCGAGCAACTAGAGTTCTTTCAAGATTACATAGATTTATGGTAACAAGGAATTGAGCCCTAATTAACTTAGAAAAAATTGATTGGCAATATATTAAGAAACAGATTCTTGACTGTTAAATTCATAACATATTGAGGATATTGGGGGAAGTCGAAACCTTAACTACACTTGTTTTAAATCTTAATCAAACATCATCTTCATTCATCCTTTTAATTTTGAATTTTCATATTGCTTGCCTTTACTTGTTTTTTATTTTAAGTTCTTTGAACCACAACTCTTTTCATCTAAATTCTCTCAAACCAAACCTTTGATTGTCCAACTAAAACGCAATTAGCGAACTAGTGCTTGAAATTCTGATCCTCGTGGGAACGATCGCGTACTCAGTACATTTTATTACGACCGGTGCACTGCCGAGTCGCTATCAAGTGTTTGGCGCCGTTGCCGGGGATCGAATTCTACCACATTTGCCTTGCCTGGGTGGTATTTAAGTTCAAACTCATAATCTTTCAAGAATTCCATCCATTGCTGCTGCCTCATGTTTAGCTCCTTCTGATCAAACAAGTACTTCAGACTCTTGTGATCACTGAAAACATCAAACTGCAAGCCATACAAGTAATGTCTCCAGATTTTTAGTGCGAACACTATGGCTGCCAACTCCAGGTCATGAGTAGGATAGTTTTCCTCATGTGGCTTCAATTTTCGTGAGGCATAAGCTACGACCATATTATCTTGCATCAGCACACACCCAAGTCCTCTTAGAGATGCATCACAATATACTTCAAACTTTCTAGTTGGGTCCGAAATAGTAAGCACCGGAGCACTCGTCAGTCTACCTTTTAACTCTATGAAACATTCTTCGCAAGCGTCAGTCCACTCAAAAGGCATATCCTTCCGAGTGAGACGAGTGAGAGGTTGTACTAACTGAGAGAAATTCTGGATAAACCTACGATAATAACCTGCCAGTCCCACGAAACTCCGCACTTCAGTGACGGTCCTGGGTCGTTCCCAATTCATTACTGCTTCAACCTTGCTGGGATCCACAACAATACCTTCTGCTGAAATTATGTGGCCCAAAAACTGGACTTCACTAAGCCAGAACTCACACTTCGACCACTTTGCATACAATTGCTTCTTCTTAAGGATTTGTAAAACGATCCTCAAATGTTCCGCATGCAGTTCTTCATTGAGGAAATAAATCAGAATGTCATCAATAAACACAATAACAAACTGATCCAGGAATGGGCGGAAGATGCGGTTCATATAATCCATGAATACCGCTGGAGCATTTGTCAGTCCGAACGGAATCACCTGATATTCGTAGTGCCCATAACGAGTCCTAAAAGCTATTTTCGGAATATCCTTCAGTTTGACCCAGATTTGATGGTATCCCGATCGTAAATCTATTTCGGAAAAGACTCTGGCACCTCTCAGTTGGTCCATCAAATCATCGATCCTGGGGAGCGGATACTTATTCTTCATTGTCACTTTGTTCAGTTGACGGTAATCCACACACAAACGTAGACTATCATCCTTCTTCTTAATCAGAATTGCTGGAGCACCCCATGGAGAGGTACTGGGTCTGATGAATTCTTTTGACAGCAGCTCTTATATCTGCTTTTTCAGCTCCCGAAGTTCCAAAGGTTCCATACGGTACGGAGCAATGGAAATAGGTCCAACTCCGGGAATAAGTTCAATGGGAAATTCTATTTCCCGATGAGGAGGTAATCGAGGAATTTCATCTGGGGACACCTCCTCGAATTCATTAACAACAAGAACATTCTGAATTCGGTTGTCAACCGAAGTCTCAGACTCAATCAACAAAAGATAACCTTCAGCTCCCCGAAGGAGCTTTTTTCTAACTTGTAATAAAGAAATAGTAGAAAAAGGCTGAAAATTACCATCCTTCGAAGGAACTATGACTTTCCCTGCTCGACAGTCCAATGTTATTCCGTTCTCCGTCAACCAGTCCATAGTGATAATCACCTCAAAATTGAATACCGGTAGAACCACTAAATTCATTGTATAAGTGTTTCCTTCAAATTGCAAAATAACACCTGTGCAGATTTCTGATGCAGTACAAGATCCTCCAGTAGGAGTACTGATTTGTAACTCATAAGGTAACGGAGCTGGGGTGATGCCTATTCTCATAGCAGTGTGTTTCGCTATAAAAGAACCTGATGCTCCAGAATCAAAGATAACAGATATTGGATAGCCATTCAAAATTACATTACCTCGAATTAGATTAGGATACTTCTAAGCTTCATTTGCATCAAGAGTGAACACCTGAGCTTGAGTAGGAGGCTGGTTAGCATTCCGTTGGCAATCAGAAGCAAAATGTCTTGGCTGACCGCACCTGTAGCATGAATTGCTTCCACGTCGGCAGACTCCAGCATGATTCTTTCTGCAATTAGTACAAGCGTTGGAACCCTGTCGTCCGGCAGATGATTGACCAGGAGCATTATTCCTCTTGAAGTTTCCAGTCTGAGCTTGCCACTGCGGACCCTTGCCCCTATTTATTCCGGTGATCCTCCTGAAGAACCGGCCAACTTTACCTCCTCCCTGAGATTGCATCGGCTGTTTAGAATGATTCCTTGTTTCATTGATAATTTCCTCCGCTTGCCGACTCTGATTAATCAATTCAGGCAGAGTACGATTAGCTGTAGTCAGCATGAGCTTGCGGATATCTGGGTGCAGTCCACTTTCAAATTTCTCCACTTGCCATTCCTCGTCATAGATGTTCCGATCCATTAGCTGCCCGAATTTAGCAATGTACTCATTAACAGTCATGTTATCCTGCCTTAGTGACAGCAGCTCAGTGTGCTTCATTCTTCTCATAGCCTTTGGGAAATACTTGTCGAGAAAAACCCGTCTGAACACAGCCCAAGTTAGATTAATATTCTGAGCTCACAGCAGAGCCCTCGCACTAGTCCACCAAGTCAAAGCTTCACCAGTCAGCTGCTATGATGCATAGTCAGCCTTCTGAGCTTCCGGACATCCCACACGTTCAAATATATGCTCGATCATCTGCAGACATCTTGCTGCAGCCTCAGGATTATCCCCACCTTCGAATGTAGGTGGCTGGAAGTTTCGGAAGTCTTTCAACCTCCGTCTGGCAATTTCCTTAGCATTGTCCTGCATCTGGGGTTGGTTCGGATTCTGATGCCGATATTCTCTCCACTCTTGACTCATGTTTTGGACAAAAGTGGCCAACCCCCCGACGGTAGTGATAAGGTCGTCAGGTGCATTACCAGTTCTTCCCTGAGTAGAACCGCGGGTACCTGCCATGTTTCTGCACTCACAATACCACGAAATGAGCTGATCAGACTCACTGCAAGCTATTCATGACAGCAATCCCAAGTATACTTGTGTTCAATTCAGATAAGTTAATAATGCATCTGTCCCTATCAGAGCATATTTCTGACAGTCTAAATATAACAATTAATATATTTCTAACAATTTAAACATCTTATCATACAGTAAACAACAATTATGTAACAGTTAATTACAATCAGCAAACAATTCAGCAAGCAGCAAACAATTCAACAAGCAAACAGACACCATGAACCAAAACTACTCTGATACCATTTAGTGTGACACCCTCCCCTGTATGTATCCAAGGGAGTTGTCTGCTAAGCTGATTAGAGTCGTAATATTACGAATAAATTCTGAAATTTCGTTTTTTTGTCTTTCAAATCAGGTCAGAAGAAATTAAAACAGTGTGAAAACTTAGAGAAATATATGGCTTGCTGAAATAATCATTTTCTTGAAAAACCTGTCTTCGTGCAAAAATCATAATAAATCGTGCTTTCAGAATTTCATTGTAAAATTTATATAATTAAAAACTAGACATGTGGGGCTTCACGCGCATATAAATCATAAGCAATTCGGAGGTCTGTAGCCCCACTAAATATAACTTGCAAAGTGCTCACAAAACAGTTTATAAAACTGCATTCAAAACCTTCAGAAATAGTTTTCACAAAACATTTCCAGAATTTTTCCAAAGTCCTAACTGATTATAAAAATCTTAAAACAGTAGCCAAATAATGCTTCCAACAGTATTCCAAACTTCCCAAAATATTCCAATAATACAGTCATACAACAGACAAACAGTTAACAGCAGAAATCCAAACAGCAGCAGGTAACAGCAAAAATCCAAATAATAACGTCATCAAATGCTTTTTCGTCCTCCTGCAATTTTATAAAAATTGAGCCCCAAAAGGGGTGAGAAAAATCTCAGTAGTGTGATAGCAAAACCAATAATGCAACAATATTAAACTAGCCACAGAATTCCAAAACAGTCGCATCATCAGTAAAATTCCATACAGCTGTTAATCATCATCTTATTGCTCATATAACGCCATGGCCATGTATATTCATAATAGTCATAATAGTGTGTATTTAACGCCATTTCCTTGTTAGTGCGTATATAACGCCATTTCCTTGTACGTTCATAGCACCGTCGTGCACGTACTAACATACACAGTGGATATTCCATGATGGCTCCTCAAAGGTGAATTCCAACCGTGGCCTATGCGGACAGAAGGCAAGTGTCTCATACCCTAGTACCGAAGGGATGCCTATATGATGTGTGCTCAAACGTATGCATATTTATATAAATATTCTAATCCATGAGCAGCATTAAATTTGTGCATGTATGTCATGATATGCTTTACACACAAACAAGAAACAAATGAATTATGAGGTGTATATGCATAACTAGATCATCATCATAATAGCATATATTTTATGCTGTCACTTAACAATTCCATCTCATAATAAAATTACCATAATGTCAAGTCCATAGTCAGAACATTCATATAATATTTCACAGGATAATCATGAGGCACATGTGAGCAACATTTCACAACTCTACACACTAGTTAATAGTCACATTAGGTAATACCACCTAACACTTACCTCGGTGCTTATTACCCAAAACCGCAAGAGACCCAACCACACTCTAGGAATTTAGTGCACCTAGACAGAACGTACGAGTCAGAATTTATTTCAAGCAATTCCTATAATTTACCAACAAATTCCCATGCTTCCAATTTTATTAGGTAACCGGTTTTCATTGCTCCTATACTAGCTAAATTTTCTGACTCAAGTTAATATATCAATATGTTACGGCGAACAAAATCCAAGCCCCGTGTACATGCAGGTTCGGTTTAGGCAGAACTAAGTGTTCCAAATTTATTTCATCACCTAATCACCCTTACAAGGCCTAATGGTGCGCTAAGAAGAATTGATGAGCATGTTATAATTTAATTTAATACATACAGAACTAGGTGTATATTACAGCCTCCCTAAGACAGTCCAATACTTTCATAATAGAACTTATCTATATGCTCACAAATCGGTTTGGCTTGCATGCATTAGATTCAAGGATTATTCAACTAAACAGAAACAGTGGCTGAACATGGATGGAAATTAAAGACTTAAACTGACTCCTAATTATGCTATCTTCACCGATTTCCATACATGCAAAGGAATCTATTTTTATTTTTTATTTTTTATTTTTTTATTTAAGCAAAAGTCAAACGAACAACAATAAACCATTCTCCCAGCTTGTCCAGGAATCTATTTCAAAACATGCATACAGCAAGGTTCACATGAACAGAGACAAGGGTACGAACAATTAATAGAGATGGAAAATAGACTACTTCCTAACATGATTGTAAACCGAAATAGATAAAAGGGTGACATCAGAATTCACTTCCAATAACCTCTATTCCAACCGAAACAGTGTAGAGAAAACAAGAACTTTGAAACCCCACTCACCCGTTCTTGAGCGCACGAAGAATGACAGCCGAGCAGAGAGCAGCCCCATCATTTTCCTAGGCTCCAAAAGACCGGTCTCAACTGCATGCAAGGTAGAGAAGACTTCAATCACCGCTTGGTCCATTGCATGCAATTGGAATTTCAATCAGAACCGATCCATGAAAGGGAATAAGAAACAGCGAAAACAACATTTCACCTCTTTGAAGGGTGTCACGACCGAAGCAAGGAAAAAGGGGAAAGAATGTAGTCTTGGTGTTTTGGTTTCCCCTTAAGGTGCGCACAGCTTAGGGAAGATGAGGATGAGGAAGGAAGATGCAATCGAAACTTCTTCTATGGTTTCCTCCTGGCTGTGTTTGCGGTAGAAAGGAGGTTAAGGGAAGTGGGTTGATGACTGTACGACTGAGGAAAGAAAAGGAATACAATTTACCTCCTTGAATTCTTCTTGGATGTTTCACGGACTTGAGGCTGATGAGAAAAAGTGTATGCTTTTACGTGGGACACAATGACTTAGCCTTGTGGTTCAACTAGCCAACGCCTAGGAAGGAGATAAAAAGGGTATCTAATTATTTTAATACATGAAGAAACAATCCCTCAATCAGCAAGGGACCTGGCCGAAGATAGGAAGTGGAACCAAGTGTCCAAATGAAGTGATAAATGGCGGTCATGCAAGGGAAGGATGGGGTGAGGTGTCACGCATGCAAGTAGGAGTAGTGCTAGGTGGCAAGCATGCATGCTGTCTTAGGGCTATGCGGCGTGCATGCATGTAATTCCACATGTGATGCTTAAAATTAATCATACCCTAATCACTTACATGGAATACGAATTCATTTTATGTATTCACATTCCTACTTACATTTTAATTAAATTCCTAAATGATGCGGGATGTTACACCACCTCTCTTGAATTGACCCGGAGGCTGCCTTACCTGCAACCCCCTACCTCTATTATTATTCTGATGGTAGCCACCTCTGTTATTATTTCTAGAAGGACCTCCTATTTTTCTGCTCTCTCGAAGAACTAGACTTCGGGTACCTGCCATAAACAGTCTCAACCCTTTTACACTGGGTAACCAGATCAGCAAAATTCCTAACAGCAGTATTAGACATCCTCTTGGCAATTTTCTCATTTAGGCCTCTCCGAAATTTAGCAGACAAGAATTCCGGGGTAGGCAAAACACCCCCATAATTTGCAAACTGGACCAATTCATTAAACTTGGCCAGATATGCATCAACATACATGGTACCCTGTACCAATTTCTCAAACTCACCCTGTTTAGCTTCCCGGACATCCTTGGCAAAATACTCCTCATGAAATAACTTCTCAAATAGAGTCCATGTCAATTCCTTTCCCTGAATAGTGAACGGACG